GAAGTCGGGAAGAACTGATACAGGAAGTAAGGGTACAAAGCAAGCATTCAATTAAACAAAAATAGCCTCCTCTCTTTGAATCTCATAGACTGCCCATTCACATTCTACCTTTAGCAGTTGTTAAACTAAAAACAATGGCGGAGGAAGAAATTTTAGAGTATATTCCCCTTGGTGGTAGTAATTGGGCATAACCCATTGTTGTTTTACAAAAACTGGATGGATATGTGAGGATTACAAAATAGGTGTAAACCACAAAATATGCTCAAATTTGTTCCCTATTCCTAACATTGAAACTGCTATTCACTATTTCAATACTTTACCAAAATTAACCTCAAATCTGATAAAGAAAATGTTAGAGGTATCTACAATGACAAAAAAGGATTGGAATCTTTTTTAGGGTTAGCGAATTTTTATAGCAGATATTTGCCAAAATATAGTCAATTACTAGACCCCTTTGCAGAGTTATGTAAAAAGAATAGTGAATTTAAATGGACACAATGACAGAATATAGCATTTGAAAATTTAAAGAAAGGCTGTATAAAAAATCCCATTGTAAAAATTTTTAACCCTAAAAATTAAGTGACTTTAACTAGAGACACAAGTAAGCATGCCATATCAGCAATTTTGTCTCAAGGTCACCCTATAGTGTGTGTTTCTAGAAGATTAACATCAGCTGAAGCTAACTATTCAAACATTGAAAAAATGAGCCTTAGCTATCATATGGAGCACAGGAAGTTTCTGCTTAAATCTAACCATAAACCTTTAGAGTTTATATTTAACCCCAAGAAGGAGTTACCTAAAGTTAAATTTTCTAAAATTTTAAAATGGACTATAAAGCTCATGACCTTTGATTTTGACATTGAATATGTTAAAGGAAACACTATTCCACATGTTAATGCTCTATCAAGACTAAAATTCAATAATGAACGATTAAAAAGATCAGGCAACTGATAAAATATCGCAGCAGATTGAAACTGATATATTACCCCTAAATTGTCTTGCATTTGAAACCTTACAGGATCCAGTATTAGCAAAATTGCATATAGAATAAAAAGAAACAAATGGAATGATTGTTCGGGGACAGAAAGATCCTATAAAAAGATAAGGCACAAATTAACTATGGAGAAGTGTCTTATAAGCAATGGAAATGTTTTAATACCAACAGATTAAGAAAACATGTAATAAAGTGTACACTATGTTTATTGTGGAACACCAACACAGACAATTAAAATTACAAGCATGGTGACTTGGGTATTCACATGTAGAAAAATGTCGGGAAATAAAAATTAAAAAAAAAAAAAAATCTTTCACCAAGCCAAGATACACTCATGGCCTAAAGAAAAAGAGCCATCATTGCACATTTATATGGTTCATGCACATGTTAAAGGCATAGAACTATTTTGAATTTTGGTCAACATGAGTCCCTAGGTGGTCTGAAGTTGTTAGGGTTCAGGATAGGAAGGCAACACATATAAAATATCCAGAAATAGAGTGCTAAAAACGTTAGTCTCTGACAATACACCAGAATTTTGGGAATGAAAATTCGAGTTCATGGTTAAAATAAATTGAATGCTTTTCTTATAAAACAGAGAAAATGGTGCAGATGGTAACAATGGGGTTGAAGGCATTTTCCCCATCCAGAGCTACCTACTGAAAGTATTTTGAGTTATAGAACCATTTCACATGCAGGTAGAGTGCAAGGCTCCTTTGCATTGATGGGAAATTAGATCTATTTGACAAACGAAAAAAATGTGTTACAAAAAAGACAGAATCAAATCCTGAAAAAGCAAATTTTATTGTAGAAAAGGGACATAATACAGTTGTAATAACAACAAATGAACAGAAATTACTGTCTCACTCTGACGAAATATGACTTAGAAATACTGATGAAGTAAAAAATGAGGAGGAAAGTGAAAGGACACAGTAGGTAAGAAACTATGGAGGATAGTGTGCACAAATCGCACATGGAGTTGGAAGATTAAAGTGAAGGCCTAGATGCACAATAGAAAGAACAGTTCCAAGAGAGAGAGATAAGATCTAGTGTAGTTAGAAGTCAAAGATCAATAAAGGGCATAAAACGACTTTGTTTCCAGGAGATGTAGTGAGATATGAAAAATGAACTTATCCTATTTTGCATAAAGTCAAATGACTACAAATAAGTCAGTTGACAAGTGGAGAATTACTATTATTACAAACTGGAAGACAACAAAAGTATTTTATATAGACACCTTGTCTAACTACACACTTGCTGTTTTTAAGCAAGTCCTGAAAAGGAATGTTTTTAACAATCAAAAATTTGAAATGATCATTAGTTGGGCTATGTTGGTGAAATAATTTTTAGTATCACATGACTAAAAAATGCCTTTACAACTTAAACACATTTTGATATGTGCACACCAAGATTAAAACAAATTTTATTGATTATTGATGGTGAGGAACCTCAAAGTTTTAATTGTTTTTTTGCAATTGGATTGGCAGAGTACTCTTGTATTGTCTACTGGTATTTTGAAGAGGTGCGTGTGTGTTTGTACTTTTCTGGTATTTTAAAACCTGCAATTTTGAACATATATTATCAGAATCTTTTTTTTTTTTTAAATCAATAAAACTTTGAACATTTAAGTCTTGTTCTACATGCAACATCATTATTTACATTATTCAGACTATTGTCCTCATCTTTGTCGCCATATTAATCACAACGTTTCGGACGTTGTACACTCCGGCCTTCTTCAGGTGTTTGGAATTTCGAACTGAACCCTTTATTTCGCTCACTGGGGTAGACTGTTCTAGTTTCATGTGCCATGTTTGATGGATGTAAGTTATCAGTTATCTCCTGCTAATTTCCCTTTGAAAGTTCTCCACTGCCTTAACTGGGTATTGAACTCACACTCTTTGGGTCTCGTCACTGGATCTAACCAACGCCTTTATCCACTGTGCCATGTGTCCAGTGAGCGAAATAAAGGGTTCAGTTCAAAATTCCAACCACCTGAAGAAGGCCGGAGCGTACAACGGCCGAAACATTGTGATAAATATGGCAACAAAGATGAGGACAATAGTCCAATTAATGTAAATAATGTACATAATTCCTCATCTCAGAAATTTAGACAGATGCAACATCATCTTATGTAAAAGAGAAAATGCTAATCCCTTTTTTGTGTGTGTTTTCTTCTTAACTGCCTCACTACATGTGTGCTAATTTTGCTGTTTTCTTCTGTTACTCTTTTTTGAGTGAGAAATGTCTCTAAGACAAAACAGCATAATTGTCTCTCAGCTTCATGATAAAGTGCTTGTAAAAACAAATGTATGGCTAGAGAAAATGGTACTGTAGCATGTCCCTGTTGATAGAAAATTTCTACATGATAAAGTGCTTGGCATGTATGAGATATTTGAGGAGAGCAATAATGAGTTTAAAGCTACCAAGGGATGGATTTATAGATCTATAAGGACCACAAGATCATGAGAGAATCAGCATTGGGATTCCCAGAACAGCTAAAAAAAAAAAATAGGTATTCAAGGGGAAGAAAAGGCTACAATCAGCTGTGACAAAATGAACATTTTCTGGAAGAAAATGATGACTCTTAGCTTCATTCATAAGTTCCAACTAAGCCTGTGGTCTTAAGGCTTTGAAGGATCATATTACTCGAGTGTTTTGTGCTGATGCAGTAGGTGCTGTACTCAAGACAAGCCCCATATCCAGAGCCAGTAATTCCAATGTTCTTAAGAACAATAGCAAAAATATGCTGCCACCTTAGTGCAAACTACTAAGTTATTTTGATGAGGATGTTTGACCTCTTTTTAGCATTCTTTGATAGCTGTTCAAAGAGTGTTTCTTGGCTAGTAAGTTGATCTTTGGACATAACCTGTTCACTTGTCTTCATGGATCTGACAGGCAGATTGTGTATACTGGATGTTACTTTAAAGGGGAAAGTGTTCCATTTCATTCACGTTTATGCTCCCAATGACAGTAGGATGCAGGAAGCCTTCTTCAGCAGATTGATCAGTTTGTGATATTGTCAAAATGGGTAGTTTTAAGCATGTGATTGGAACATTTGTCTTGATACTAAATTGGATTGCAGGGAGTCATGAAGAGTATTAACATTCCTTTAGATGTAAAAAAAAAAAAAAAAAAACTTTTGCAAATTTATCACTGGACATGATCTGGTTGATAAATTTTGAAATGATCATCCGAAGTGGATAGATTGGACTTAGACAGATAGGGCTGATTCAGGTATAGTGCATCATTCTAGCTACATTGAACCATAGGCTTGTATAGGTCTGCATAAATTTAGATACAGCTAAACCCAGATACTAACAATACACTGGAAACTGACACTCTCTGTATTTGGAAATCAGTGGTGAGGATACCTTAAGGTAGGTACCGCCCAAAAATCTTTCTAAAAAAAGAGCATACCATGATGAAAAAAGGTGTCACACTTGATAAAAACAAAATTTTATCATCAGAATATTTATGATATTATTAAAAGGAAAGACCAAGTTATTTTTTATTAAATTTTTAATCCTTGCAATCTAATTTCATGTTTGAAATTTTGTTAAAAATCTTGTTTTACTTGTGTGAGCCAAAGATTAGCATTGATAGTTTTAGCGTCTTTCTTGGTATTAAAAACATATTTTGGAATTTCTTTCAAAACTCAAATAATTGTCAGATTTCAATTAAATTTTCAGGACTTATTTAAAAATGAATGAAATCATTTTTTTTTTTTTTTTTTTTTTTTTTAAGAAAATCTTGACTAAAGGAAGAATTATTAATCTCATGAAACAATCATGTTTAGTTACACTTTTACAACTCATTATTTTTGTAACTTATTACCAGAATAAATGCATTTTTTGTCTACTGAACCAGATGCCATGTGGAATTTTTGATCTTGTGTCGAGTGCAAGTTAAACTGAATTTTTAAAAAATATAATTCAACAGTTTTTAATTCTAATTAACTAAATAATTTGTTTCATGTCATATACTTTTTTTCATAAATTTGTTCTTGTAGCATTTGGGCATACCTGCTGAAAAGATAATTTTAATAAGTCCTCCTGTTGTTGATGAGGATACCTGGGCTAAGGAATGTAAAACAAAAGGTAAGTAAAATGTCAAATTCTTTTGATGAATTGAACTGGTTTTAAATCATACTTTTAGGCTTGATTGTGATCACAAATATTTTACTTAGAAATGAAATAACATGTGATACAATAAACCCCCTCTCTCTTTAGGATAAAGGATTTTACAAGTTAGTATTAGTAACCACATCATTACATAATTAACAGGTAGTTTTGTGTCCATTGAATATAAATACCAAATGTATTTCCCCACATGCTATTTTAAATACCAGAGGATGAGTTCAGCTGACATTTAAAAGATAAAATGGCTGAAAATACACTGGCTGAGAAAGTCTTTGGTTACAAAAGCATTAAAACAATAACATTTATATCAAGAAAGGGATAAAGAGAGAGTTAGGAAATAGAGAAAGAGATGGTAAAGAAAAGGGAGATAGTTAGGGAAAACATATTTAGAATTAGAAAGCAATGATATCAGACACCCAAAATGGAAGTTCGACAAAAAAATCCAAGAGTTGATGAAATTAAGAGGTGGAAAAAACTGAAGCAAAGACCAGAAAAGAATAGGATATGAAATTACTTTTAAATTCAGAAGAATATTTTGTAGTGTTACTGATTCGTAGGAAGTAGTATGCACTCAACTACCTCATGGGTAATAGCTGCAGCTATTTATAGTCTTTGTGACTTCATTATTTTCCTCCCTCTCCCTAAGAGATTGTCTAGATATGGGAAATCTTGACCTTTTTCTTTTTCATAAGTATTCCTTCAATAATTATTCTTGTTCATCTTCAGTGTCTGTATTACTCTTGATTTCACTGTCTAGTTTGTCTTGTCATAACATAATGCTTTCACCTTCATTACTTTCAGGCTCATTATACATTTCTTCATTGCTATTGTGTTGCAATCTAATTTCATTTGCATACGCTTATATACCATTTTCATTTTTTTCTACTATCACAGTGTTCTGTCCATTTGTATTATGAATCTTGCCTCTTGTAGGTTAAATTGACTATTCCTATTATATACCATAGTTTTTCATTGGTGGCATAGAACATGGTCAATGGGGCTCTAATTTGTCTACCCTTGAGGGTGGACAGGCTTTTTGATCTTCCAACATAACTATAGCAACAGTCTAGGATGAAATATCTCTATCGTTTCTTTCCATTGTACATGTATTTTCAATCTGTTTTTTATAGTTTGCAACATCCTTTCTACTAATCTGTTTGATTGCGGATGGTTGAGGGAAGGGTTTATATGGTTTGCATCCAATTTTGTTCAGCTATTGGCATAGTTCCTCATGACAGATCTCTGGTGCATTGTCAGATACTAGCATTTTTGGTATTCCATTTTTTGAAAATATGATCCTTAACACTTGTTTCATGGTCAAATTTTTTTGTTGGAGACCTGTATTACTTCTGGCCATCTTGAATATGAATCTACCAGTATTAAAATAATCCCACTCCATTAACATAGGCATGATCTATGTGTACCCTGTCCCAAAGTTGGGATTCTTTAAGCCATGTTTCTAGTTTTGTCTAAATTTTCTTCTGTTATCACACATTTTACATTTTTTTATGTATTCTTCTACATCTGTAGACTAGCCTGGCCACCATACCTCTAGCCTTAATCTCTTTTGCAAAGACATTATTCTGCAATGAATATCATGTATACTTTTTATAATTTTGCTCCTTTGCGTTGCTTGAAGAACCACTACTTTTCCATTGCAAATTATATGCTTTTCTACGGTTAACTTATGTTTAATCTTTTTAAAGCACCTCTCTGCCTGTGAGCAGTTATTCCACTTATTATTTTCTGTCCTAAACAATATACTGTTCAATATGGGATCTCACTTTGTGTCCTCCACTATTTTGTATATTGACAAAATATCGGTTTTGGCTCAGTGTAAGAAAGTATCTTCAAATTTTTCCTCCGCCCTCTAACTTTCAGAAGTAATAAACCCCAATCTCTACAAAGTGTCTACATGCAGAATGGTATTGCCTTTCATGTACACAATATCAAACTCCATTAACATTTAAGGCCCATTTTAAAATTCTAGAAGACATTAACTTAGGAAGTTCCTTTCTAGGATTAAATATGAATTCTAAAAGTCTATTAGTAGGAATTTCTTTCCAATCAGAAATTGACAAGCTTTATTTGTTGTCCATATTATGGCCAATGCTTCTTTCTCAACATTTGAGCATTTTAATTCGGTTTTTGATAATTTTAATTCAGTTTTTGATAATTTTCTCAAAAGATATGTAATAGGATGACCATGCTGAGCTAATAACCCCAAGATTGAATGTTCACTCATGTCAATTATTATTACTATTTCGTTTCTAGGGTCAAATATTGGCTTCTTCGCCAGAATAGCTTTTAAATTTTCAAATGCAACTTGTTCATTGTCCAAATAAATTTCATTCTTTTTTCTTAAAGCAGAAAAACATTCTTCCAAATTGGATTATCACTCGACATATTGTCTGTAGAAATTTGCAAATCCTAAGAATAATTCCAATTTGTTTTTGTTCTTAGTTATTTCAACTTTTAATATTTTGTCAATTAATGATTAGTCTGGTGATATGCCTTTGTTAGATATGGAATATCCCCAAAATTATATTTTTTTTAGTGTTGTGCACAATTTTTTTTTTTTTTTTTTTTTTTGTTAATCCAGCATTTTTTAAAACCATACTGGTTTGCTATTTTAATTCTTCATTGTTAATAGCACCAACACAAATTTCATCCTGGTAACGTATATTTTTTATATCACTACCAATAACTTGCTCTATAGCCCTTTGAAAAATCACACTTGCAGTTTTAACTCCTTATGGCATTCTTTTCCATCTTAATAAGCCTACTGGTGTGTCTTCTTCAAAGTCATCATCAATAGCTATTTTTAGTATGTCGACTTTAGATCAGTTTCAGAAAATGTTTTCATTTCTGTAAGAAAGTTCAAAGCCCATTCAACATTGGGGATATAATATGAGTACACACATATTTTGTAGTCACCACAAATGTGCAGATTCCATCTTTCTTTCTTAAAATTACTAACGGGGAGGCCCATTTGCTTCCTCCTGTTGGAACTCATTCCAGTAGATCTTTTTCCAATAATTTCTTCAGTTTTTCCACAACTATTGGTATTAGATGGACTGGCATTTAACCTGCTTCATATTTTTTTAACATCCCAGTTTTTTCTGCCTTGATTTTGTTCGCTAATTTTCTTGAATACACGATATTCTATTAGACAATGATTCTTTTCACAGTTTGCTATGATAATTGGTAATATGTCATACTTATTTTTTAGTTCCACATAGGCTTCAAAATAACTTAACATTTTTATCATGGATCCATCAAATTGATTAAATTGGACATGGCTTTTCTTTAATCTTGGCTTTCCTAATTTCTTCCCGAAATTTCTGGGTATCAACGTTACATCACTTCCTGTATCTAGTTGCATGTCCAATAAAACATTATTGATTCAGTTTTTAATAACCATTTTTCATTTTATTTGATTTTATTTGTTTATTTTTTTTAATGAGAAGATGTCTATACTTATTTCCTCTTCATTGTTTTGGACTGTCTCTACTTTTTTTTTTCTTTTTGATATACACATGTTTAAAATGATTCAGTTTGAAACGCTTTTCACATTTTTTTTTATATGTCGCACATTTTTGTTTTATTTCTTTGATATTGATATGCACAATAAGTACTCATTATTCTATCTTTTTTCTTTATTGCGTATGTGTCCATTTCCTCTACCAGATCTGTAATTTTTGTTCTATCAAATTTTCCAATTAATTCTTGTTGCTGAAAAAATTTAACATACTGTTCTAATGACAACTTTCCCAGTTGTAAATGCATTAGAGTCATTTGCCGATACTCTTCATTATGAAAGCCATTTACCAATTACATTTGGATTGAATCCTCTTTGATTGACTGGTTTTCCAATCCCAGTTTCTCAAGTCCACAATATTTAGCGGTCTGTTTGAAACAAAGAATATATTCAATAACTGGTTCATTCACTTTTTGAGAAATATTCATAAACTTAGCTATTTCTGCATTCACTAGTTTTTTCTTGGGTGCTATATTTCTCACTATTAGTTGGCTTATATTATCAAATGACATTTCCTCCAACTGATCTGGGTGTACAATTTCTGACAATTTCATAATGTCCTCACAACCAGCAGTTGCCTACAAGAGAACCGTTATTTGGTTTTCTTCGATTACTTTTGAATCCTTCAACTTTTTTCTTCTAGCTTTAGCTGCTAGTATCTTAGGCCACACTTGTGCATATTAATAATTATCAAGTGATAATTGTTCGTTTAGTTTGTTAGATCTCAGCAATGCCATTGTAGTGTAGTGTTACTGACTCACAGTAAGTTGTATGCACTCAACTGCCTCATGGGTAATAACTATTTATAGTTTTTGTGACTTCATATGTAAATGATTTAACTTTATTTCCATATAAGGAGATTTGAATGATACCCTCAAATAAGTTGAGATAACTAAAGCCGTGTGTTAGAATAAATAATTCAGATAGAAATTTATTGCTGTGGTGCTTAAAATTGCAATATAAGCATGACGATACTTCATCACTATTCTATGCTCTGTCAAGTCATTGGAAGCAAATATTGTGTTGTGAACTGAAATTATTGAGTGTTCAAAGAAATGCAATATTATTCTCAGTGCACACAAAAGAAGCAGTGATGCTCATTTGTGTTTAAAGGCAACAAACATTTATTTCTCACTGATGGATGAAAGTTTGTTGTAGCAAAATAAAGTCTGTGGAAGCCCAAAATGCACCATAATTTTCTCCTATGATGACTGAATATTTAGTGTGACATCTTCCTTGGTAGAATCCAGAGGAACAAAAAAGCATATAGTGATTTCTATAACAAATTCAATACATTTTATGCATCCAAACCAAACAAAATCCAAAATTCCTTTGCTTCAAATGTATACTGCTATGCAGTTGTAAAATTGTACGACAAGATTTTTAAATTAAAATTTATCTGGTTCCTTGTCACTGAATTTGGCACATTAAAGCCTCAAAACTGATGTATGTATTGACAAGTTGATAATGGAAAGAATTAATTCTTCACCTGTATTGCTACAGAAAATGGATTTGTTTATTTATGAAAGTAACATTTCCATAATGTTAAGCTATTTATTAATCATTCACTCATAGCAATCTTAGCATTTAAATCACATCTTCTAAATAACCACTTGTTTCAAGTCTGATATCAGCTTTATTGCAAGCATCATTTATTTTAGAATTTACCGTTCCAATTTCTCTCATCCAATTAATGATACCTTTTTCTTCTCTTTGAAATAAAGTTTTAATCAAATTTTCTTCAGCCTGACAAGTCATTAATTACATCTTTTTTTTCTTTTTAAGTGTTTATCTAGAGGCCAGTACAGATTTCACTTATTTTACAAATTCCGCAACTTGGACAAAAAAAATAAAATTTTTATCAATTTCTCAATAAATGGTAATACAAGTTCCCAATTAAAATTCTTTGTTCCTTCTCTTCAAACCAGCCATCCAATTTTATAAAACCCACTTGTCTCCAATAATGTGATGATTATATCCATGATAATACACCTGGATATAACCCCAAGATCATGATTACTGGATAATGCTAAGTCACGTGTTGTTTACAACAGCTAAATATGCTAAACAACAGCTTTTGATGTAAATGAAACACAACAACCTGTACTATAATATACTAATATATTTGATATACAAATAGAGAAAGAAAAAGATATTTTCAGTCAATGTGAATCTGTGGACTTGGGAGAAAAGGTGTCTGGGTATCTTGTTTTGTTAAAGAGATCTCTCTCAGTCCACAGCCTGGTATCTTTGTATAGTAGTAATTTCTCTTCAAGTTGCTGACTCTATTTTTTTTTTTTTTTATAATTTGATGCCACTTTCTGGGACTTAGGGTAACAGGAGCAGCCATGCTTCATGCTGTTTGAATAACATAATAGAAGAAAATAGAAAATAAGTCTTTGAATTTAGTGTTTATATAGACAGTGTCACATGACACTTACAGGAGCAGTGATTGTCCCTTTCTTCAGCCATTCTGTGCTTGGTTAATCTTATTTTCCAATTGATTATTCTAATTTCCAATACCATAAATAGCTTTATCATTAAATAGCCTAGCTGCCCAACCAATAGTATTTTATCTCCAAATGACTGGTACGTTGACCATAGATTGATTCCATGTGTTGAAGGGGAAACCTCACCTCTCCTGAGAAAAGAAATTGAAGAGTTTTGACTCGGTGTTGATGCTTGTAGACAATGACCCCCATTTTTAATATAAACCTCTTATTTAATGCCTGGAATATCCTGATCAAAGATATAATAGCAGGTGGATGCAGACACACTTGGCAGTGACCAACCTTTGTTTTAACAGCACTATTCTTATAATCTCTGTTATAATTCTGTTATAATCTATCTCATATCTATTCTGCATCTGATTTTCATATAAACATTAGTCCTATTCTTTATAAATTATTCTTATCAATTTTTTTTATCAAGCAGAAAAACAAGTAAATGATTTTAAAACAATTATTTTTTTTTCTAACCAAATAATTTTTCTTTCCAGGAAGACCACTGTCCAATTTCAACAAAAATACATCTCTGTATGCTAAAGCATGTGTGGAAGCTGCACAGCAGACTGGTACACATTGTATTGATCTCTATACAGAAATGTTGAAGCATGATGTAAGTTTTAATTTTATGTTTGAAATATTTTTATTGTTTTATATACTTTTTTTCCTCAAAGCATGTTGTACTATACTAATATAGAAGGCCTTGCCACAAGGCCAAATTTTATGTATTGTTTTTGTTATGCTATTACTGTTCTCAAGATTAAATATGAAATAAGGGTGTGTAATTATTTTTATTTTCCTCTTTCTCCTCAGGATTGGAAAAGCATGTTAAATGATGGTCTTCATCTTTCCAACAAAGGTTCCCATTTTCTGTTTTCACTACTGCGGCCTATAGTGGGCAAGCACACCAGTCATTTGCCATTCAAGCTTCCATACTGGGGTGATGTTGATCCTGAGAATCTAAATTCGTTGCTTGATTAAAATAACAGCATAAACCCCTTTAAAATCATTGCCAATTCTTTACTTTTAATATTTGATAGGCCTCAACAAATTTTGGTGCCTCGTATTTGCATATGTATGGTGAATAAGAACAACTTATTTATTATATTTTCAAATTTTAAATTTATTCAGGATTTTAGTTTTGATGTAAGAATACTATCATTTGCTATTTCATAGCTCATTTACTTTTTATTATTTTCATGGAAATTTTTTCATCAAGTTGATGAAAGCTTATTAACTATTTATATATATTTTAATGAATTTAGATATTAAATGCTTTGACCAAATATATCAAAAGTACAAAAACGCACCACTTCATTTGCTTACATTTAAATATTAGAATATATTCAGTAAATCTTGGACTGTTCTAATTTGACTGATATTTCAAAAGTAGCACAATTTTTATTTCTTTTCATAAGAATAATTCAATTCAATAATAAATGCAGAAAATGGCAGCTATAAAAAAAACAGAAACACTTTTTTTACTATTTTTCCACCAAAAATGTTTATATATTGATAAATATTTGTGTAGTCTACAAATCTCTGCACAGAATAAAATTTTGTTGAAACTCAAGTTAATTGAATGATTGTGTGAATTTGGACATATTTTCTGAAAAAGTGTTAAAATTCTTAAATCTCTTGAATTATCTCATGCTACAGTATTATACCAATTTCTGTAAATACATTTTGTTGTTTAGCACAGCTGTTTAAAACCCTTGTTTTTGTCATATAGGAAAATCCAACATGGCGCGTAAACGAAATATGCGGCAAAAAATCTCATTCGTCATAAACTTTTTAAACACCTCATAGAATGTAAAGTTCTTAAAGAAAACCTATGTCAAAGTGTTTTCCTGAATCCTTGATGACTTGGCTGTCCGAAAATGATAATATCAAGATGAAATAATGGAAACTGACCGTGAAAAATACAATTATGCGAACAGGTTTTCGATCAATTAGTAAACTTCTGGACCTTTTAGGGCGACCTTATAGGATCCAGACGGCTATTTTTTTAACATGGAATTATTCACTGGTAATTAATCTTCGATTTGGCTGTGGAAAATGTCACTCGGCGGTTAGCATTAAGAAATTATGCACAATTTTCTGAGAAAAATCCCCTTTTTTTAATGAAAAAATATTCATTTTCGCTTCAAAATAACATCATTCAAAATTCATTCCTTTCTCTTTCATTTGGCATGAACATCATTGAATAAAAAGAAAGGCTAAATGGACCGGCGATGGGAAATACAAAAGATATGCGGCGAAAAAAAAACAATGTTGTCTGCTAAGTGTTGTTGTCATCACCGGGTCACGGGGTGTTAAAAAAAAAACAAAACTTATCAAGCCATTGTTCAAACATAGGTTATATGAAGCCCTAGTAATTGTGAACCCTTTTTATTCACCTTTGCTTTTATCTGGGAGTGGTGGGTTTTATTACAACTTGTTCTAAGGTTTGCCGTCCGTTTATTGCTAGCTGGCTGGCTGGCTGGCTGGCTGGCCTTTGACCTAGACGTCAAAGTCAATTAGGTTTATTTTTCTCTTATCACTATTTTTAGGAAAAAAAACAAAAAACTTTTGGTTTCTGGCGGTTAGGAATTGCAGATAAATCTCTTGCCTTTTACTAAAGATTTCCATTGGCCAGGTGTCAATTTTTTAACCCTTGGCAGTCATAATTGAAAATTAACAATGGATTTTGTCGCATTTTTGAACCCCTCGAATGTTGATTTCCTTCAAAACTCAATTTTATGCCTGAAATAGTTTGATTATGATCTAGGCTTTCTGATTTTCAAAAAAAAAAAAAAAAAAAAATGGTTAATTTCCATTAATGGGGGAAATATTTGTTTAGAACAAGAAAAAAAATGCAAAATTTTCACTATTTTTTCACATTTTACCCACTGAAAAAAATTTTTTGTCATTTACACCAGCTAATTTTACTTTTAAATGAAAAGAATATATCTTTTGCTTTCAGAAAATACCTAGTTTCATGGGGTTCAGATCAAAAGTTTCCTTGATATTCGTTTAGGTGATGATAAAACAGTCATTTTTCAATATTTTACCCCTAAAAAAGTATGAAAACCCATATTTTGAGAGAAAATAAGCTGTGACAAAATGACTTTTGCTATTTTTGTGATGATTTTCACTTGGGAAAGAAAATTTTTACCATAGGAAACCTGAATTGACTTTATTTAAGTTCAGTGGGTCTGTAGGAAACCTCAAACAGCTGTGTTAGATGATAGATTATATATTGTGTAACAACTTCTGTATGGTTCTGAACTAAATTCTTGCTTAATTTATAAAATTTTGATCAATCATGGTTTATTTAACATAGAAATATCTTATATTATTTTCTTTATTGTTTTTAAATAAGTAGCCTCTTAGTTTTTTTTTATCAGGACTGTACTGTTTATTTTATTGGTTTGAATTTTACCAATCTTTTCTCTTTTCTATCCGAATTAATATATAATTTTTATTTCTCAATATTGATGTAATGCAGGCATCTCTGATTTGTTGCAGTAAATTTGACCCCTAAGAAAAAAAAAGTTATGAAACATGTATAAGACTCAATTTTTTGGTCCCCTTTCTTCTTTCTACTAATTAAAAGCTGAAAGAATTGAAAATATTCTGATATAAATATTATTTCTAGATTTTAATTAGAATCTGAAATATTCTCATTTAAGAATTTTGTTTACTTTGAGTAAGCAGTTACACTGGGGGGTGGGGGGTGCTTAAAAAAACATTGATTTTTTTAAAGCATCTTCCAAAATTCATCTACTTATTGAATTTTAATAAACTTAGCATTTATGCAAAATAAAAAATACATAATAAAATACATTATCATGCAAAATTGTTAGGAAACTGTAATGGGATTGGTCTAGCTAATAGGTAAAATTAGCATAAAGAGTGTTTGAGTCAGTGTATGTGGAAAATCATTCTGTTTCTTGGTGTTTTTTTTTTTTTCTAGTCCAGCCTGACAGTTTTTTTTTGTTTTTTTTTTAGGAACTGTTAAGTTTATCATTTTATTTTTGTGCTATCTTTGAAACTTTTGCATTTCTCAGTTTTCTTTGATTTTGTGTACTTGTTTTCTATTTGTCTGTTTTTTGTGAGCTAAATTTTACTTTCTTCAGTGTATGTCCTTTTGTGTTTTAACCCCCCCCCTCCTGAATTTATTTTGTTTCTTATTTCTAATTTAATCCTTTTTTTTTTTTTTTTAACATGTTTATTTGTTGTTTGTCAACTTTAATTCGTTTTTACTTAGTTTGATCCTGTTGTATTTTTTATGTGATTATTGTTATCAACTTTAATTTGTTGTTATTTTCCACATTCTTGTAAACAAAGTTGGATTTTTCCTTTTTTTTTTGTTTTTCATCTGTCCATGATTTTAATTGTCATAAGACTTTTTCTTTTCATTTTATTTTTGTTTCATTGTGAGAATAAGCCATTTGTATATAAGGTGAACTTTTATTTGTTTGACCATGGTGATTTTGGACCACCATGGCCAAAAATGTGGATTTGACTGGCAATGCAAATGCAAAATATGTCACCGCCTAAAAAAACGGCCGTGGTTGAAAACAGGCCTCAAAAAGATGCAACATATTACAATAGTCTAAGGGAGAAGTATGACTCATTCATGAGCTCCTTACTATTCCAAAAGCAATAGATTCTGTCAAAACAACTATCTCCCTGCCAATCATTGCCTTAAGAACTTGGAAACTTATTGGGGTCAGCAGGGAAACAATGGAAGAAGTTTTGAAGAGCCTCAAAATATGGCCCAAGATTTTGGCTAGGTGGTCTAAGGCTCTACGGGACATTTTACTGACGACAGAAGAAGAGGATAAAATGTTGGCAGGAAGTATACAGACTACTAAGTCAGTCCGCCTTCAAAACAAGGGCATGAGATGAACAAGAATTACCATCCATGGAGCTCCAGTGGGGATAGGCTGGGGGCTTTTTTACCCAATATGACCTAGTGGATGAGGTGACTGCAATAATCAGCAGAATTGCCATGGGAGATTTTTGTTTTGCAGGTTACGATGACTAGGAAGAAGTTTTTTGGAGATCCCCAATGTTTTGATGTTTAGGGACAAAATGATGCCTGTTGTGGTTGAGGGCTGTTGTCCCTGCTGCTGAACATTTGGTGCTTCAGGGCATATGTCCAAAGCGTGTACTGGGAAAAATGCAGTACCTCAGCCTAGCCAAGATGCAGCAGTGGAAACAATAGAAGTGTCTGGCAAGGCTTCCAATGGTGTTTGGAGGGAGGTGGCAAAGAAGGAACAGAAATCATCAAGCCCTCTCTCCCAGCAGGAGGCCTCACAGCAGCAACAACCACCCCAGGAGAGGCTGGAGCCTGAAAAGCAGCAGCATCCACTGTATCACCCCAAAAAAGGGCTTCCAAAGGAGAAAGATCAGCCTAAGCAGAAAAAGCAGTAGCAGCAACAAGACCAGCAACAGCTGAAACAACAAAAAGATTAACAACAACAGAAGAAACATGACCCACAATAGACTAGCCAATAAAACCAGCAACAATTACAGGAACAACAACAGCAGAAACAGCAACGCGGAGCAGATTCTGATATGGAGATGCAAGAAATGTCCCCACCACAGTCCTCCTCTTTGAATAGAGAGGGGAAAGGAGGAAGAAGAGAAGGAGATGCCCATCCAAAAAGGGAAGTGGGCTGGATGAAGCAAGAAGGAGGAAATGGTCAAAGTCAGTTTCCAATCTGTCCCTGTGTCATCAGTGGAAATTCAGGACGCAGCTCTCAAATCAAGGAGCCTCCCTTCTTTACCATCTCAGGCTCTGTCCTCCTCCACTTTCATACTTCCCCAACTGTCCACTTCTACCTCACTGTCAACTACACACCTCACCCATCCAGAAAAAGGAGAAATATACTTTTGCAATGCTGAGGACATTTGTAAAGTTGACAGAAGGGAAGTAGAGAGAGACTTTTCAAAGCAAAAGAAGGCACTCTTGGGTCCACTTTTCAAAG